TACACCGTACTCCCAATCCTATTGTAGTCCCGTCTATTAAAAACTGGATTTACACGGTCCACAGCTTCTTATACATTTGGGAATTTTTACAAACCAAGGGATTTAGGTTTATGTCTACAAGGGTATTTAACCAAGATCCCTTGGAAAATTTTTTCAGTTGTATAAGAAGTTGTGGAGCGAGAAATGTAAATCCATCCTGTTCGTCCTTCCTTACCTCTGTTAAGACCTTAATGCTTAATAACCTTTCTTCACCACACTCCGTAGGGGCTAACTGCGAGGTGGATGAGTCAGAAGGTCCATTAGATAACTTAAAATTATTTATTACCAGGAAAATAGAGGAAGATTTACATCTAGTTGTAGCCCAACCTGTGTAACCTTTACACAGTGCTCATAACAATGACAGCAAGTGGGACTTTGCTAGTCCATATGTGGCCGGAGCAGTGATTAGAAAACTGCGGAGTAAATTGAAATGTAGAAATTGTATAAACAAGATGTGTGCATCAACATCTGTGAAAACTTATTAATAAGAACAAGAGAATATAATACAGAGAAGTTATGCACCCATCTAGTTTATACATAAAAACATTCAACGAAACGTGCAACAAAATAACTTCCTTGCTGCCCCGATACATATTGGGCTACAATGTCAAGAAAACCATACTAGGTTTAATTAAGAAGGACCACTTGCTGGCATTGTTTTGTAGCAAACACAGCGGACAAACGGGGTTCTTCCTAAATTGTACTTTTAATTTGGTTTTTTATAATTATTTAAACAGAATAAATAAAATTCTAAATGGTTAGGATTTACGCCATAAAGATCGGGATGCCCTTCATACGATGGCATATGAATGCTACAAAAAATATTTTAGGCGTAGGTAGTTAAACTTAGGTTTAAGTCTAAGTAGTTAAATTGTTCTTAAGTTAAAATGTTGGTCATGTATGTATTATACACCGTTGGGAAATTTAATTTCGCATAATAGGAAAAGTTAATGTTAAATTCTTAGCCGTCTAAATCCAGTCTACCAGTGTACATTTCAATAGAACCTCTCGATCAATTCTAATAAATTTAATTCAAGTGAATTTATTTCCAACCCCGTATATTATTATCCTTTATTTATTTTATTATTATTATTATATATGTGTGTATTATTTAGTAGCAGTTTAATAAAAGTATACAGCATATATATTTAATTTTTTTTACTAAACCATAATCTCACCTGCTACATTTAAATGTGTGAGAATTCCCGCCAATAAATGCTAAAATCTCATAGATTCCTGTAATAGGTTTTGTTGGACCCCAATGGATGGCAGCACATTCAGGGTAACAACTTTTTTGACAGAGTGTCCGGTCTATATTTGTATTTTGTCTATGGAAGCAGTATGGGGAACCCTATCTACCGGAAATACCTATACCGTGTTGGAAAAATTTTCGCGCATAATAGGGAAATCAATGTTAAATTCTTAGCCGGCTGAAATCCAATCTACCAGTGTACATTTCAATAGAACGTCGCGATCAATTCTACTAAATTTAATTGTTCTACTGGACTTCACACCGCGCTTTGGCTTGGTTAGATTAAAAATCAAATAATTTCGACGGTTTCGACACTTCGACAGTATCAAAACGGGTTCGGACGGGTGAACGTCGAGTCGATTAAAAAGAAATGAGAATTTTTAAACGATAATTTATTGAAAAAATATCACTAATATTAAAATAGAGTTATGTAGATATGTCTTTTTGCCACAATGGCTTGAAAAAGAAAGTAAATTCTAAGAAAATAATAAAAAGAATACTCCAAAAATAAACTTAAAGATTATTTTAAAATAGAAAATAAAATAACTCTAAAAAATAGTCCACCGCTTTCTGCTAAACAATAGCCAAACCTGTCATACAGATGTCATCTCATATTACTGAGCTGAGGTGTAATTTTAAGAAAATTGAATTATTTCTTCCTTATTTTTCCTTATTTTAACAAGATTTGTTGCTCTTTAAAAACTGTACCTACCGATACACACATTTTTTTGAAATATCCCCAAAAAACCTATTAATTGTAGTTTCTAAATAATTTTGTACCTCATACCTAACACAAATAACTTTGTACCTCTACAAATCGCGGCGTGCGGTCCAGTAGAACAATTAAATTTATTAGAATTGATCGCGACGTTCTATTGAAATGTACACTGGTAGATTGGATTTCAGCCGGCTAAGAATTTAACATTGATTTCCCTATTATGCGCGAAAATTTTTCCAACACGGTATGAGTGAAATGCTTGCCAGCATGGATGTACCGACTATGCCTTTAAATATGTTCTATCAAATGGAAAACAATATAGGAAAGGTAAGACGTCATATAAAATAGTACTAATAATAATAATAATAATAATTCAAAAATAGCTGACTGTTTTTTAAATATTTTTTTGTTACAGAGCTGGGAAGTTTCTCTTACTAATTCAATGAAAAGGGCTGGTGAGAAAGAGAAACAAATTGCCATAGAAGAACAGCAATACTGTAAGGATGGCGTCCCTTGGATTACAGTATATGTTGACGGATCATGGAGTAAACGATCGTATGGTACTAATTATAATGCGTTATCTGGAGTGATAGCCATTATAGGAAAAAATACTGGACAACTACTTTTTACTGCTGTCAGAAACAAATTCTGCTCTGTGTGTGCTAGAGCTGAAAATAGTTGCAGAACTACCGAAAAAGACTGTTAGATGAAAAATCTAACAACGCAACCAAAACAACTAAGAAAATCCATGAAGAAAGATCATGTCCAATAACACTGATTATGGACCAAAAGCAGATCAATTTGAGGACCCTTCAATGATTCAACAAGAAGTCGAAGAAATAATAAAAGGATTGCATGTAAGTAAAACTCATTATTATTCAGTGAAAATTATTAAATCAAAATTATGATACAAATATTATTATTGACGAAATTTTTTTAATACGCAGGTAACAGAAAATGATAGGGACCGTATACAAGTTAGTTCTATAGGACAATTTGGCAACGAGGTATACGAATCCGAAAGAAAACATAGATTGACAGCATCAACATTTGGGAGCGTTGTCAAAAGGAGAAAGCACACACCATGTCATATACTCGTTAGATCCGTTTTAAAACCAACTGGCTGTATGACGGATGCTATGGAATATGGAATACTCAGAGAGAAGGTGGCCAAAGGCATTTTCGAAAAAACTCAAAATCTACCTGTAGCGGACTCCGGATTGTGGATCGACATACACAATTTATATCTTGCAGCTTCACCTGATGGTAAACTATTTAAATTTTAAATATGTTTAAATATTAATGTGAAATAATGGTAAACTTTGATTTTAGTTGCCATATTTCTGCGCATGCGCCAATTTCGTGAGATTTCTTAGTGCAAATGGAAATATTGGTAAAATAAAATTAAAATTTTATTAAAAATATAATTAATATAATATAATAAAATAGTTACATGATTTATGTAGTTAATACAAAAAGAGTTTTCGAAACTCGTAAAGAGAAATCATGAAATAAAACTTCCAGTGATTTTTGTTAGCAAAGTAGATGTGTAAGGAAAAAGAAGAAAAAAATAACCTTAATATTTTTAAATATTTAAAAATTAAAACCGCATTTGAAAAGAATATGGCGAGGCAAAGAGGTGTTTTGTTCCTTGTGGACCACGTAGAGTTAATCCGTAGAGGTCCTCCTGAGGTACGGCAGGATGGGACTGCCTCAGGGGGATCCATTAACTGTGATACAGTGGCTGGCAAAAAGGCGCCTACTGGTAAATTCTCGGGAATGCGAAGTCTGTCACGTAAGTATTGCTTAATATAGTTATATAGTGAGATAGTTATTGTTGGAACTTGTGAAAATGCAGGATTAAAACGCTTCGTTCGTATTACTGACAGACTATATATTTATTATCTTGTTGAGAAAACAATTACATTGATTTTTGATCAGTAAACATGACAACATAAAACAAAGATACTTAAGTTCGTGTTACTTTACTAACACTCCGCCTCACGAACATAAGTGAACAATTTTAAAAAAATCCTTAAAAGTTTTCTTCGTAACTTTTCGAAGCGGGGTCCTGGTAACCCCTTTGTAAAAATATTAGAAAAAGGAAATGGAAAAGGAATATAGAAAAAGGAAATGCCGAAACACATATTGAAGAAAGGGGACCAGAAGAAGAGGTGTTTCGGCATAACTAGGGATCATTTCTTCTGATGAATATGAACGGTAACTAATTTTTATGTTCGTTTTTTATTTGGGGGAAAAGGTTGTTTCCTGATAAAAATATGTTGATTAGATATGTTTAGATAAATGTGTCCCATATCATTTTGTATACTGTACTGAAGTTACTAATGGCAAGTAACTTTTTTACAGAATTAGCAATTATAAATTGGAATATGAAACTGTACCTGCACCAGAAAATCCTATAACTGGAAACAGAATAGTCGAACTAGGATATGTACTACAATGGGCAACACGTTTGCAACATCATCATTCCAAAACCTGTACACTTGATTGACGAGTATAATCATATACCAATGTTCCAGTTGTCCAAAGGAATATGCTTATCATACTGAGAATCCTAACCGAGAAAAATCCCTGATAAACATAGAAGCAGTCAGGGGGTGGCACTTACTCTTGAAAATTTTGGATAACGATTTGCAACGCCATCTTTTGGGGTCCAACAACATTTTCTGTTGCTGAACAGCATTGGCAGCCAAGTCCACTCTAAATAAAGAAAAAGAAAAATTCCTAAACGAATTGTCATTGTTTACAGTCCGCCATTATGCCATTCCGCCATTACGCTATTCCGCCATTACGCTATTCCGCCATTACGCTATTCCGCCATTACGCTATTCCGCCATTACGCTATTCCGCCATTACGCTATTCCGCCATTACGCTATTCCGCCATTACGCTATTCCGCCATTACGCGTAAACGTTTATTTTTATTTTTTCATCGATATTTATTCTACTGATATAACCGAAAACCGTACTGATGAATACATCAAAACGCGTACTTGTTTGTTCTGTACCTGAGTGCACAAATACCCAAGCTAAACGGTAAGATCCATTAAAACTGAAACCACGTTTATTTTATTTAAAACACCCATCTATTATTGAATAATACTCAAATAAATGTGGATATAATCATAATTGCAGACATTTCATTCCTAAGAAGGATGAAAGAATTAGGAAAATATGGTTGCAAAGGATTAACAATCCTATCTTCGTCGATAAACCATCCAGCTACATAACAGCAAAAGCTGTTTGCGATATTCATTTTGAGGAAATATGCAAAAGAGACGATCACAAGCTCAAGAATTATTCACTTCCCTCTTTGTATGTACCTGGGTTTGCGGGAGTTGACAATGAAAAAGAACGGTGTTTTTCGTTTCCACCTAATCCTTACGAAATGAAAGGGACGCCTCCCAAAGTAAAAAGTATGTATATTATTTTAAGAACGAGTTCCCTTTATTTATGTTTGAAATGTTCTATAGGACTTATGGACAGTTTCAAAAATGAAATGAGAAAAAGGCGCAAGCCATTGGACATTGAAGAAGCTGGACCTTCACACGAAGTTATAAATCACCAACAAACATTGGACATTGAAGAGGCTGGACCTTCATATCCTCTACAAACAGCAGGTAACTAATCTTTTATCATACTTTTTAACTTTTATTATATATTAATAATTAGTAATTTAAATGTTTCAATTTTTATTTTTTTACAGGACGAAGAACCAGAAAATTTCACATGACCAATGAGATGAAAAATTTACAGAAATTAATGACAACAACAAAAATTAAAAACGCAACTTTACAGTCCAAAGTAAAGTTTCTAAACAAAAATCTTGTATCGTATGAAAGGGCATTACCGGGCCTAAATGTAACTACAAGGCTTTTTATAAGAAGCCAAATTAGAAATCAATTTAGGAAGAAAAACGCACGACGTTTTACTGCTGGGGATAAGGCACTAGCTTTATCTCTCTACAAACGCACTGGTAAAGGGTACCGGTATTTATCCAAATTATTCAGTTTACCATCAAAAAGAACTTTAAATAAGACTTTAAGCCACATCCCATTCGGTTGTGGCATCAATAAAGCCGTATTTGAACATTTACATACGGAAGTTAATAAACTGAATGAATTGGACAAATATTGCGTGTTAATGTTTGACGAAATGTCTATTAGCATGGGGTTGCACTACAACAGTAGCAAGGACTATGTGGATGGTTTCGTGGATTTTGGGGGCTCTGATAGACGTGCTCAATTTGCAGACCACGCGTTAGTTTTTTTGATCAAAGGGGTTAGGCGAAAATGGAAACAAGTTGTTTGCGTAGCCTTCAGCCGAAGTTCCACGCCTGCCGCTGTTTTATGTAATTTAATTAAACAGATCGTTAGACAATTGAGAGATTTAGGGCTGACTGTTTTAGCCACTATATGTGACCAGGGAAGCACTAATCAATCAGCTATAAAATCATTAATTAGAGATACCAATGAGTATTGTTTAAGGAACAATTTCGATAATAAATATCACGGATATTTAATAGATGACGAACAACTATTCCATATATACGATTGTCCGCATTTGTTAAAAAATATCCGTAACAATTTGTTATCGAAAGATTTGCATTTTGAAATTAATAATGTTAAAAAAACGGCTACCTGGGAACATGTCATGCGCTTGTATGCCATAGATTCAGCGCAGGGGGAATTTAGTCAGTTTCAAAAATTAACAGATGAGCACGTCCTTCCGGATAGGATAAAAAAAATGAAGGTGAAGAATTGCACTCAGGTGTTTAGTGCTACGGTAGCCACTGCTATGCACTCACGTGCAAAGACGGCATCTGAGTTGCATTCTTCATCTCAATTTTTTATCGATCCCAGAGCCACGGATGTTGGAATAGCTAGCATTCAACTTATTTGTTGTCCAGTAATTTAGAAGAAGATTGACACTTTTTAGACAAGACAGGTGTCAACGTCATTTTACTTTTGTTTTTATGTTTTTGGTTGTAGTACGATAACCTAAGTTTTTGTAATAATACACATGTTGTACGTAAAAGGGTTGTATTTATTTCTAATCACGAAGTTTGCTGGTTGAACGGGAAAAGGACACTGTGTACAAGTTTCTACAGGTTTTGGGCCCAGTGAGAACAACAAGCAACATTCGGTTCGTGATATTCGGTTCGAATTAAAAACATTACAGAGAGTTTACGATTCCTGTGTTATTGCGGAGTGCATAAAGTTAAAATGGCGGAATCAAATAAAGGTTTTATTACTAAATTGAACAATGACAATTATTTTATGTGGAAATATAAAATGGAATTGCTGCTTATGAAAGAAAAACTATGGAGTGTTTTAAATGAGGCAAAACCGGAACCAACTCAGGATAATTCTAATGCGGATGCAATCAGTATGTGGCAAATGCGTGATGATCAGGCTCGTGCGTGGATTGGCTTATCTGTCGAAGATAGTCAATTGTGTCATGTTCGTAACAGGACTACAGCGAAGGATGCGTGGATGGCGTTGAAATCATTTCATGAAAAGGACTCAATGACCAATAAAATGAGCATTATTCGTCGGATTTGTGGACTAAAAATGAGCGAAGGTGGCAATGTGGAAGAGCATTTGAATGAACTTACGAATTTGTTTCAAAAACTGAGTGATTTAGGAGAGGGACAGTTGTCAACTACCTGGCATGTTGGTGTTATCGTTAGCAGTCTACCGCGCAGTTACGATAATTTAATTGTAGCACTCGAAGCACGACCAGAGGCAGATGTTACCTTGTCATTGGTTCAATCAAAGTTAATTACTGAATACCAGCGTCGAAAGGAAATGGACGCTAATAGTAACGGAAATATGGATTCAGCATTGAAAACTATCGTACAAAATAAAGGCAAAGTCAAATGTTTTTTCGTTTTTTTATATGGAATACTCAGAGAGAAGGTGGCCAAAGGCATTTTCGAAAAAACTCAAAATCTACCTGTAGCGGACTCCGGATTGTGGATCGACATACACAATTTATATCTTGCAGCTTCACCTGATGGTAAACTATTTAAATTTTAAATATGTTTAAATATTAATGTGAAATAATGGTAAACTTTGATTTTAGTTGCCATATTTCTGCGCATGCGCCAATTTCGTGAGATTTCTTAGTGCAAATGGAAATATTGGTAAAATAAAATTAAAATTTTATTAAAAATATAATTAATATAATATAATAAAATAGTTACATGATTTATGTAGTTAATACAAAAAGAGTTTTCGAAACTCGTAAAGAGAAATCATGAAATAAAACTTCCAGTGATTTTTGTTAGCAAAGTAGATGTGTAAGGAAAAAGAAGAAAAAAATAACCTTAATATTTTTAAATATTTAAAAATTAAAACCGCATTTGAAAAGAATATGGCGAGGCAAAGAGGTGTTTTGTTCCTTGTGGACCACGTAGAGTTAATCCGTAGAGGTCCTCCTGAGGTACGGCAGGATGGGACTGCCTCAGGGGGATCCATTAACTGTGATACAGTGGCTGGCAAAAAGGCGCCTACTGGTAAATTCTCGGGAATGCGAAGTCTGTCACGTAAGTATTGCTTAATATAGTTATATAGTGAGATAGTTATTGTTGGAACTTGTGAAAATGCAGGATTAAAACGCTTCGTTCGTATTACTGACAGACTATATATTTATTATCTTGTTGAGAAAACAATTACATTGATTTTTGATCAGTAAACATGACAACATAAAACAAAGATACTTAAGTTCGTGTTACTTTACTAACACTCCGCCTCACGAACATAAGTGAACAATTTTAAAAAAATCCTTAAAAGTTTTCTTCGTAACTTTTCGAAGCGGGGTCCTGGTAACCCCTTTGTAAAAATATTAGAAAAAGGAAATGGAAAAGGAATATAGAAAAAGGAAATGCCGAAACACATATTGAAGAAAGGGGACCAGAAGAAGAGGTGTTTCGGCATAACTAGGGATCATTTCTTCTGATGAATATGAACGGTAACTAATTTTTATGTTCGTTTTTTATTTGGGGGAAAAGGTTGTTTCCTGATAAAAATATGTTGATTAGATATGTTTAGATAAATGTGTCCCATATCATTTTGTATACTGTACTGAAGTTACTAATGGCAAGTAACTTTTTTACAGAATTAGCAATTATAAATTGGAATATGAAACTGTACCTGCACCAGAAAATCCTATAACTGGAAACAGAATAGTCGAACTAGGATATGTACTACAATGGGCAAAACGTTTGCAACATCATCATTCCAAAACCTGTACACTTGATTGACGAGTATAATCATATACCAATGTTCCAGTTGTCCAAAGGAATATGCTTATCATACTGAGAATCCTAACCGAGAAAAATCCCTGATAAACATAGAAGCAGTCAGGGGGTGGCACTTACTCTTGAAAATTTTGGATAACGATTTGCAACGCCATCTTTTGGGGTCCAACAACATTTTCTGTTGCTGAACAGCATTGGCAGCCAAGTCCACTCTAAATAAAGAAAAAGAAAAATTCCTAAACGAATTGTCATTGTTTACAGTCCGCCATTATGCCATTCCGCCATTACGCTATTCCGCCATTACGCTATTCCGCCATTACGCTATTCCGCCATTACGCTATTCCGCCATTACGCTATTCCGCCATTACGCCATTACGCGTAAACGTTTATTTTTATTTTTTCATCGATATTTATTCTACTGATATAACCGAAAACCGTACTGATGAATACATCAAAACGCGTACTTGTTTGTTCTGTACCTGAGTGCACAAATACCCAAGCTAAACGGTAAGATCCATTAAAACTGAAACCACGTTTATTTTATTTAAAACACCCTTCTATTATTGAATAATACTCAAATAAATGTGGATATAATCTTAATTGCAGACATTTCATTCCTAAGAAGGATGAAAGATTTAGGAAAATATGGTTGCAAAGAATTAACAATCCCACCTTCATCGATAAACCATCCAGCTACATAAGAGCTAAAGCTGTTTGCGAAATCCATATTGAGGAAATATGCAAAAGGGACGATCACAAGCTCAAGAATTATTCATTTTCTACTTTGTACATACCTGGGTTTGCACGAGTTGACGATGAAAAAGAACGTGTTCTTTTTCGTCGTCGGGGTTCCACCTAATCCGTACGAAATGAAAGGGACGCCTCCCAAAATAAAAAGAATGTATATTATTTTAAGAAAGAGTTCCCTTTATTTATGTTTGAAATGTTCTCGGACTTCTGGACAGTTCCAAAAATAAAATGAAAAGGCACAAACCACAATCATTGGACATTGAAGAAGCTGGATCTTCACACGAAGATATAAATCACCAACAAACATTGGACATTGAAGAGGCTGGACCTTCATATCCTCTACAAACAGCAGGTAACTAATCTTTTATCATACTTTTTAACTTTTATTATATATTAATAATTAGTAATTTAAATGTTTCAATTTTTATTTTTTTACAGGACGAAGAACCAGAAAATTTCACATGACCAATGAGATGAAAAATTTACAGAAATTAATGACAACAACAAAAATTAAAAACGCAACTTTACAGTCCAAAGTAAAGTTTCTAAACAAAAATCTTGTATCGTATGAAAGGGCATTACCGGGCCTAAATGTAACTACAAGGCTTTTTATAAGAAGCCAAATTAGAAATCAATTTAGGAAGAAAAACGCACGACGTTTTACTGCTGGGGATAAGGCACTAGCTTTATCTCTCTACAAACGCACTGGTAAAGGGTACCGGTATTTATCCAAATTATTCAGTTTACCATCAAAAAGAACTTTAAATAAGACTTTAAGCCACATCCCATTCGGTTGTGGCATCAATAAAGCCGTATTTGAACATTTACATACGGAAGTTAATAAACTGAATGAATTGGACAAATATTGCGTGTTAATGTTTGACGAAATGTCTATTAGCATGGGGTTGCACTACAACAGTAGCAAGGACTATGTGGATGGTTTCGTGGATTTTGGGGGCTCTGATAGACGTGCTCAATTTGCAGACCACGCGTTAGTTTTTTTGATCAAAGGGGTTAGGCGAAAATGGAAACAAGTTGTTTGCGTAGCCTTCAGCCGAAGTTCCACGCCTGCCGCTGTTTTATGTAATTTAATTAAACAGATCGTTAGACAATTGAGAGATTTAGGGCTGACTGTTTTAGCCACTATATGTGACCAGGGAAGCACTAATCAATCAGCTATAAAATCATTAATTAGAGATACCAATGAGTATTGTTTAAGGAACAATTTCGATAATAAATATCACGGATATTTAATAGATGACGAACAACTATTCCATATATACGATTGTCCGCATTTGTTAAAAAATATCCGTAACAATTTGTTATGGAAAGATTTGCATTTTGAAATTAATAATGTTAAAAAAACGGCTACCTGGGAACATGTCATGCGCTTGTATGCCATAGATTCAGCGCAGGGGGAATTTAGTCAGTTTCAAAAATTAACAGATGAGCACGTCCTTCCGGATAGGATAAAAAAAATGAAGGTGAAGAATTGCACTCAGGTGTTTAGTGCTACGGTAGCCACTGCTATGCACTCACGTGCAAAGACGGCATCTGAGTTGCATTCTTCATCTCAATTTTTTATCGATCCCAGAGCCACGGATGTTGGAATAGCTAGCATTCAACTTATTTGTTGTCCAGTAATTTAGAAGAAGATTGACACTTTTTAGACAAGACAGGTGTCAACGTCATTTTACTTTTGTTTTTATGTTTTTGGTTGTAGTACGATAACCTAAGTTTTTGTAATAATACACATGTTGTACGTAAAAGGGTTGTATTTATTTCTAATCACGAAGTTTGCTGGTTGAACGGGAAAAGGACACTGTGTACAAGTTTCTACAGGTTTTGGGCCCAGTGAGAACAACAAGCAACATTCGGTTCGTGATATTCGGTTCGAATTAAAAACATTACAGAGAGTTTACGATTCCTGTGTTATTGCGGAGTGCATAAAGTTAAAATGGCGGAATCAAATAAAGGTTTTATTACTAAATTGAACAATGACAATTATTTTATGTGGAAATATAAAATGGAATTGCTGCTTATGAAAGAAAAACTATGGAGTGTTTTAAATGAGGCAAAACCGGAACCAACTCAGGATAATTCTAATGCGGATGCAATCAGTATGTGGCAAATGCGTGATGATCAGGCTCGTGCGTGGATTGGCTTATCTGTCGAAGATAGTCAATTGTGTCATGTTCGTAACAGGACTACAGCGAAGGATGCGTGGATGGCGTTGAAATCATTTCATGAAAAGGACTCAATGACCAATAAAATGAGCATTATTCGTCGGATTTGTGGACTAAAAATGAGCGAAGGTGGCAATGTGGAAGAGCATTTGAATGAACTTACGAATTTGTTTCAAAAACTGAGTGATTTAGGAGAGGGACAGTTGTCAACTACCTGGCATGTTGGTGTTATCGTTAGCAGTCTACCGCGCAGTTACGATAATTTAATTGTAGCACTCGAAGCACGACCAGAGGCAGATGTTACCTTGTCATTGGTTCAATCAAAGTTAATTACTGAATACCAGCGTCGAAAGGAAATGGACGCTAATAGTAACGGAAATATGGATTCAGCATTGAAAACTATCGTACAAAATAAAGGCAAAGTCAAATGTTTTTTCTGTAAGAAATCTGGTCACATAAAGTCCGATTGCACTAAATACAAATTGTGGAAGGACAAGCAGTCGAAGAGAGATGGTGCATCGACCAGTGATAAGGCAAATAAAGTGGAAGAAACTAATGAATTCTTATTTACAGTTTCATCTAAGGAAATTCATGATGGTTGGATCCTTGATTCGGGAGCTACAAAACACATTTCAAGCAACAAAAGTTTTTTCGTTTCGCTTGAATCTACGGAATATTCGAGTCTAAATGTAGCGAACGGTGAAAAAGTAGATGTCAGGGGAAAGGGCATTTGTCGTATCGAAGTGGTCAACAAGAATGGAGATATTACAGTAGTAACAGCAACAGATGTTTTATATGTGCCGAAAATTCAGGGAAATCTGTTGTCGGTCAAGAAGCTAATTGAAAAGGGCTATTCAGTTAATTTCAGTCCAGAAAATCAAACATGCGAAATTAAAATTGGGGACAAACAAGTTGCAGTCGCAGACGCAAAATCGAATTTGTTTCAATTGCGTCAACCGAACAAAACGTATATGGTGAGAGAACACAAAGAGAATTGTATTCATCGATGGCACCGTGTTCTTGGTCATCGTGATCCGAACGCGATTAAAGAGATGTGTTCAAAAGGGTTGGTTGATGGCATGAAGATTGTCGATTGTGGCGTCAAGGCTAAGTGTGAAACTTGTTTAAAGGGTAAAACAACACGTTTACCATTTCCAAAGTCATCATTGACAAAAACCGGTGCATGTCTTGACCTTGTTCATACGGATGTTTGCGGTCCGATGCAACCGGTTTCGCCCAGCCGAAAGCGATATGTACTCACATTTATAGATGATTTTTCGCGTTACACAGTGATTTATTTATTAAGAAATAAATCAGATGTCAAAGAAAAAATAAAGGAGTACATAGCAATGGTGAAGAATAAATTTTCAACTAAACCAAAGGTAATAAGATCGGATCGAGGAGGAGAATACATGGCTAGGGACGTCGTTGAATTTTTGAAACGTGAAGGAATTCAAATCCAGTACACAACACCATACACGCCGCAGCAGAATGGTGTTGCAGAACGAAAAAACCGCACCCTAATCGAGATGGCGCGCTGCATGCTGTTGGATGCCAATTTGCCGAACAAATTTTGGGCAGAGGCTGTTAATACTGCCAATTACGTTCAGAATCGTTTGCCAAGTCGGGCAATTGAAAGAACGCCATATGAAGCATGGACTAAAATAAAACCAAGTATTAAACACTTTTCAATTTTCGGTTCTAAATGTTAGGTTTATGTTCCAGCCGAGAAACGTCGAAAATTGAATGATACCGCAGTACCAATGGTTTTTGTTGGCTATGACGAAAATTCAAAGGGATTCAGGTGCTTCGATTCAGCCAAAGACAAATTGGTGATCAGTCGAGATGTTCGTTTTATTGAAAATTCTGAGAATGAAATAAGGATCGATAAAACATCAGATGATACGAACGTTGAATCAAGTATCAGTGTCGAATTTAACATTGATAAATCAACGAACGGTAATGGCAACAGCGGAAATACGGCGACAAACGATTTTGAATCATTTGCTGATGGTCTGGTTCGGTTGTTCGATGAAGAATCTAACGATGGCAATACGAATAATGAGGGCCTTGCAGGTGATGAAGTGCCAGAGCGTCGAGTATCACAGCGTAAGAACAAGGGTGTAGCTGCACGGAGATTGATCGACGAGATAGATATGGTGTATAAAGTCGAAGAGCCGAAGAGTCTATCAGAAGCATTGTCAAGCGAAAATAAAGAAAAATGGGTAAAGGCAATGCAAGACGAAATGGACTCATTAAAGAAAAACGAAACTTGGCATTTGTGTAAATTGCCAGAAGATCGAAAGGCGATTGGCTGCAAATGGGTTTATAAGGTAAAAACTGATGCAGGAGGAAAGATTGATCGATACAAAGCACGGTTGGTCGCGCAGGGTTTCTCACAGAAGTATGGAACAGATTATGATCAGGTTTTTGCTCCTGTTGCAAGGCAGACAACGTTCAGGGTGCTACTATCGATTGCATCAAAAGAGAAGCTCATCGTACAGCACATGGACGCTAAAGCGGCATTTTTGAATGGGCAATTGAACGAGACAATATACATGAAACAGCCGCCTGGATTCGAGGAAAATAGTGAACTAGTTTGTTTATTAAAGAAAAGCTTGTATGGTCTGAAGCAAGCTGCAAAATCGTGGAACGATACTATCCATGAGGTATTAGTCGGTGCAAGTTTTCTGCAGAGTAGGGCGGATCAGTGTCTGTACTCACGAAAAAGGGATGGTGAGTGGATATTTCTGCTTATTTATGTCGACGATATAGTTGTGGCAGCGAAATCAGTCGAAGCTGTGAGTGAGGTGAGAGAGGCCATTGTATCGGAGTTTGAACTACAGGATTTGGGAGAAATCAAATTTTACCTTGGGATGGAAGTCACCAGGGACAGGAATGACATATATCATTTGTGTCAGTCAAAGTATATTCAAAGAGTTGTTGCAGAATTTGGTCTTGAAGATGCGAAAATTTCAAATGTGCCAATGAATATAAATTATGGGAAGACAGATACGGATGATGTTTTGCTGACAAACACAAGTTATCAGAAGCTCATTGGGTGTCTACTTTACATATCAGTAAATACACGACCGGATATCTCAGCAAGTGTATCAATTTTGGCGCAACGAGTGCAGCAACCGCATCAAGGGGATTGGAATGAATTAAAGCGAGTATTAAGGTACCTGAAGGGTACTGCAAATTTGAAGTTGGCGTTGAATGGAAATGACAATTCGGAGGCGTTTTTCTACGGATATGCTGATGCAAATTGGGCTGAAGACAGAAGAAACCGTAAATCAAACACGGGTTACGTTTTTGTTTTGAATGGTGGAGTCGTCAGTTGGGCTTGTCGGAGGCAGAATTGCGTTGCGTTGTCATCAACAGAGGCCGAGTTCATCGCTTTGTCGGAGGCATGTCAGGAGGCATTTTGGTTGCGAAGATTACTCAGTGATTTCCAGCAGCCGATTCAAGCATCAACAACAATTTATGAGGACAATCAAAGCTGTTTAAAACTCATCGAGGACGAGAAATTGTCAAATCGAACTAAGCACATTGACACTCGGGTTCATTTTGTCAAGGATTATGTGCAGCGACAATACATATCGTGCGTCTACTGTTCTACAGAGGATATGTTGGCTGACTTGTTGACGAAGCCATTACCACCTAAACGACATGGTATGTTGCGAGAACGAATGGGATTAAATGTGACAAATAATTGAATGAGGAGGAGTGTTGGAATAGCTAGCATTCAACTTATTTGTTGTCCAGTAATTTAGAAGAAGATTGACACTTTTTAGACAAGACAGGTGTCAACGTCATTTTACTTTTGTTTTTATGTTTTTGGTTGTAGTACGATAACCTAAGTTTTTGTAATAATACACATGTTGTACGTAAAAGGGTTGTATTTATTTCTAATCACGAAGTTTGCTGGTTGAACGGGAAAAGGACACTGTGTACAAGTTTCTACAACGGAAACAGCAGATCTTCTTCTATTTTTCGATAAATTATTCGACAGTATCAATGCAACCCTTCTGTCCCCTCCTCCCAGGAAGCCATTACAAGGTGTGGTAAGAAACAATTCCTCACACGTATCCTTATGGCAATCGTCAATCCCTATCCTTCGATCCCTTTATTACACCGTACTCCCAATCCTATTGTAGTCCCGTCTATTAAAAACTGGATTTACACGGTCCACAGCTTCTTATACATTTGGGAATTTTTACAAACCAAGGGATTTAGGTTTATGTCTACAAGGGTATTTAACCAAGATCCCTTGGAAAATTTTTTCAGTTGTATAAGAAGTTGTGGAGCGAGAAATGTAAATCCATCCTGTTCGTCCTTCCTTACCTCTGTTAAGACCTTAATGCTTAATAACCTTTCTTCACCACACTCCGTAGGGGCTAACTGCGAGGTGGATGAGTCAGAAGGTCCATTAGATAACTTAAAATTATTTATTACCAGGAAAATAGAGGAAGATTTACATCTAGTTGTAGCCCAACCTGTGTAACCTTTACACAGTGCTCATAACAATGACAGCAAGTGGGACTTTGCTAGTCCATATGTGGCCGGAGCAGTGATTAGAAAACTGCGGAGTAAATTGAAATGTAGAAATTGTATAAACAAGATGTGTGCATCAACATCTGTGAAAACTTATTAATAAGAACAAGAGAATATAATACAGAGAAGTTATGCACCCATCTAGTTTATACATAAAAACATTCAACGAAACGTGCAACAAAATAACTTCCTTGCTGCCCCGATACATATTGGGCTACAATGTCAAGAAAACCATACTAGGTTTAATTAAGAAGGACCACTTGCTGGCATTGTTTTGTAGCAAACACAGCGGACAAACGGGGTTCTTCCTAAATTGTACTTTTAATTTGGTTTTTTATAATTATTTAAACAGAATAAATAAAATTCTAAATGGTTAGGATTTACGCCATAAAGATCGGGATGCCCTTCATACGATGGCATATGAATGCTACAAAAAATATTTTAGGCGTAGGTAGTTAAACTTAGGTTTAAGTCTAAGTAGTTAAATTGTTCTTAAGTTAAAATGTTGGTCATGTATGTATTATACACCGTTGGGAAATTTAATTTCGCATAATAGGAAAAGTTAATGTTAAATTCTTAGCCGTCTAAATCCAGTCTACCAGTGTACATTTCAATAGAACCTCTCGATCAATTCTAATAAATTTAATTCAAGTGAATTTATTTCCAACCCCGTATATTATTATCCTTTATTTATTTTATTATTATTATTATATATGTGTGTATTATTTAGTAGCAGTTTAATAAAAGTATACAGCATATATATTTAATTTTTTTTACTAAACCATAATCTCACCTGCTACATTTAAATGTGTGAGAATTCCCGCCAATAAATGCTAAAATCTCATAGATTCCTGTAATAGGTTTTGTTGGACCCCAATGGATGGCAGCACATTCAGGGTAACAACTTTTTTGACAGAGTGTCCGGTCTATATTTGTATTTTGTCTATGGAAGCAGTATGGGGAACCCTATCTACCGGAAATACCTATACCGTGTTGGAAAAATTTTCGCGCATAATAGGGAAATCAATGTTAAATTCTTAGCCGGCTGAAATCCAATCTACCAGTGTACATTTCAATAGAACGTCGCGATCAATTCTACTAAATTTAATTGTTCTACTGGACTTCACACCGCGCTTTGGCTTGGTTAGATTAAAAATCAAATAATTTCGACGGTTTCGACACTTCGACAGTATCAAAACGGGTTCGGACGGGTGAACGTCGAGTCGATTAAAAAGAAATGAGAATTTTTAAACGATAATTTATTGAAAAAATATCACTAATATTAAAATAGAGTTATGTAGATATGTCTTTTTGCCACAATGGCTTGAAAAAGAAAGTAAATTCTAAGAAAATAATAAAAAGAATACTCCAAAAATAAACTTAAAGATTATTTTAAAATAGAAAATAAAATAACTCTAAAAAATAGTCCACCGCTTTCTGCTAAACAATAGCCAAACCTGTCATACAGATGTCATCTCATATTACTGAGCTGAGGTGTAATTTTAAGAAAATTGAATTATTTCTTCCTTATTTTTCCTTATTTTAACAAGATTTGTTGCTCTTTAAAAACTGTACCTACCGATACACACATTTTTTTGAAATATCCCCAAAAAACCTATTAATTGTAGTTTCTAAATAATTTTGTACCTCATACCTAACACAAATAACTTTGTACCTCTACAAATCGCGGCGTGCGGTCCAGTAGAACAATTAAATTTATTAGAATTGATCGCGACGTTCTATTGAAATGTACACTGGTAGATTGGATTTCAGCCGGCTAAGAATTTAACATTGATTTCCCTATTATGCGCGAAAATTTTTCCAACACGGTATGAGTGAAATGCTTGCCAGCATGGATGTACCGACTATGCCTTTAAATATGTTCTATCAAATGGAAAACAATATAGGAAAGGTAAGACGTCATATAAAATAGTACTAATAATAATAATAATAATAATTCAAAAATAGCTGACTGTTTTTTAAATATTTTTTTGTTACAGAGCTGGGAAGTTTCTCTTACTAATTCAATGAAAAGGGCTGGTGAGAAAGAGAAACAAATTGCCATAGAAGAACAGCAATACTGTAAGGATGGCGTCCCTTGGATTACAGTATATGTTGACGGATCATGGAGTAAACGATCGTATGGTACTAATTATAATGCGTTATCTGGAGTGATAGCCATTATAGGAAAAAATACTGGACAACTACTTTTTACTGCTGTCAGAAACAAATTCTGCTCTGTGTGTGCTAGAGCTGAAAATAGTTGCAGAACTACCGAAAAAGACTGTTAGATGAAAAATCTAACAACGCAACCAAAACAACTAAGAAAATCCATGAAGAAAGATCATGTCCAATAACACTGATTATGGACCAAAAGCAGATCAATTTGAGGACCCTTCAATGATTCAACAAGAAGTCGAAGAAATAATAAAAGGATTGCATGTAAGTAAAACTCATTATTATTCAGTGAAAATTATTAAATCAAAATTATGATACAAATATTATTATTGACGAAATTTTTTTAATACGCAGGTAACAGAAAATGATAGGGACCGTATACAAGTTAGTTCTATAGGACAATTTGGCAACGAGGTATACGAATCCGAAAGAAAACATAGATTGACAGCATCAACATTTGGGAGCGTTGTCAAAAGGAGAAAGCACACACCATGTCATATACTCGTTAGATCCGTTTTAAAACCAACTGGCTGTATGACGGATGCTATGGAATATGGAATACTCAGAGAGAAGGTGGCCAAAGGCATTTTCGAAAAAACTCAAAATCTACCTGTAGCGGACTCCGGATTGTGGATCGACATACACAATTTATATCTTGCAGCTTCACCTGATGGTAAACTATTTAAATTTTAAATATGTTTAAATATTAATGTGAAATAATGGTAAACTTTGATTTTAGTTGCCATATTTCTGCGCATGCGCCAATTTCGTGAGATTTCTTAGTGCAAATGGAAATATTGGTAAAATAAAATTAAAATTTTATTAAAAATATAATTAATATAATATAATAAAATAGTTACATGATTTATGTAGTTAATACAAAAAGAGTTTTCGAAACTCGTAAAGAGAAATCATGAAATAAAACTTCCAGTGATTTTTGTTAGCAAAGTAGATGTGTAAGGAAAAAGAAGAAAAAAATAACCTTAATATTTTTAAATATTTAAAAATTAAAACCGCATTTGAAAAGAATATGGCGAGGCAAAGAGGTGTTTTGTTCCTTGTGGACCACGTAGAGTTAATCCGTAGAGGTCCTCCTGAGGTACGGCAGGATGGGACTGCCTCAGGGGGATCCATTAACTGTGATGCAGTGGCTGGCAAAAAGGCGCCTACTGGTAAATTCTCGGGAATGCGAAGTCTGTCACGTAAGTATTGCTTAATATAGTTATATAGTGAGATAGTTATTGTTGGAACTTGTGAAAATGCAGGATTAAAACGCTTCGTTCGTATTACTGACAGACTATATATTTATTATCTTGTTGAGAAAACAATTACATTGATTTTTGATCAGTAAACATGACAACATAAAACAAAGATACTTAAGTTCGTGTTACTTTACTAACACTCCGCCTCACGAACATAAGTGAACAATTTTAAAAAAATCCTTAAAAGTTTTCTTCGTAACTTTTCGAAGCGGGGTCCTGGTAACCCCTTTGTAAAAATATTCGCTTCCATGTCTTCGGAACACATATAATTTACGGTGATGGAACCATTTTTCACACACTCTCGGATGAAGTGCATTTTTGTGTCGATATGTTTGGATCTTGCACTCACCATGGGGTTTGCACTTAGTTGATTTGCGGCTTGATTGTCGTTAAACAGCATAATCGTTTCTTGTACCATGCCAAGATCTTCTAACAATAATTTTAGATGGATAGCTTCCTTCGCTGCTTAAAGCAATACCCTGTATATGATTTTCTGTCTACGGGACAAGCTGCCCAATCTGCATCGGCTAGGCCAAACAAGGATTTATCACTATGTCCGGTCTGGTAGCTATAGCCAAATACATAAGGGTCCCAATCAATTCCTGATATGGCAATTCTTCACAGATCTCATTTTTCGTCAATTTTAAATTTGGCTCTATTGCTGTACTTATCGGTTTGCAATTTTCCATGTTAAATTTCTTCAAACTCCTCTCTATGTATCCTTTTTGAGTAAGTTTTATTCTATCCTTGACTTCTACTTCGACTCCTAGGCAAATTTTCGGTCCTCCTAGATCTTTCATTTCAAATTTTCTCATTAGCCCGTCCTTAATTTCGTTTAATTTTTCGTCCGATGAGTATGCGATGATTAGGTCGTCAACTTATACTGCGATTATTATTTTTCCTTTTCCTTCGTATAAGTGAATATACACGGATCAGCTCGTGAAGGCGCGAGTCCCAGAGATCTCAATTCTTTAGTTAATCTTTCGTTCCATTGCCTCCCAGATTGTTTCAACCCGTACAGTGCCTTCTTCAATTCGCATACTCTTTCTCCACTCGTATTCCTTAAATCTTCCAGCATTTCTTTCGTTTTTGTGAACAGTGTTTGATCATCTTTTGAGCTTTCTTCTATCAGAATTTCTGCCAAATATTTTTCCAGATAATCCGGCATTTTCATAAAAACTTTTTCATCTAATTTTCCGTTTAAATAAGCAGTAGTAACATCCATTTGGTTCAGTTTTAAGTCTTGCTCTACAGCTGTGGCAAACAGCAGTCTGATTGAGCTTAACTTCGCTACAGGGGCGAACGTTTCATTGTAGTCAATTCCAGGTTTCTGACTGAAGCCTCTGGCTACTAATCGTGCCTTCTTGGTTTCTTCATTTTTATGTCCAACCTTTGTTTTTAAAATGATCTTAGAGTCAATTATATTAATATTGTTTTCTTTCTTAATTGTTTTCCACGTACCGTTTTTAATATGTGCTCTAATTTCGGCTTTTATGGCATCGTGCCAACCTGGTTCATCTAACTCACACATCATGGAAAGCTCGCTGTCATCTATATTTAATTCGTAATCGGCCGTCCATGCTGGTAGTTTTTTCTTGCGTTTCGGCCTATCATTTGGCTTGGTTGGGTGATCAATATTTTCTTTATAAACACCTTGATCCAATGTTAGCTCCTCTTCTTCAAACTCATCAACTGACGAGTCTGAGTAATTTTCTCCATTATTATTGCTGTTGTCGTTATTGATAGTTATTTCAAATATATTATCGCCTACCTCTACTTCTTTTTTCATAAAACTGTAATCTTCAGCACCTGAAGTGTAGAACATTTTATTAATGATTTTTACGTCTCTACTTACAATAACATTATTTTCAGCGGGTATGTAAATTCTATATGCTTTCGAATTTCTCGCGTATCCCAAAAACACCCCTTCTCTCGCGTTCTGTTCAAATTTTCCTCCCTTTTTGTTCTTGTTTAGAACAAAAGCTTTTGAACCAACTATTTGTAGGTGATTGACGGATGCAACACGACCAACCCATCTCTTGTACGGCGTTTCTCCATTTATGGATTTGCTTGGACATCTGTTGATTAAATAATTCGCTGTAAACACTGCTTCTGCCCACAATTTTTCTGGTAATCCCTTCTCCACTATGAGGCATCTTGTTCTGTCCAATATTGATCTATTTTTCCTTTCTGCGACACCATTCTGCTGGGGGGTATACGGTACCGACAATCTCCGCCTAATTCCGTGTTCTCTTAAGTAACCGTTGAATTCTTCGTTGCAATATTCCTTGCCATTGTCCGACTGGAGGTTTTGAATCTTCCTTTTTAGACAATTTTCCATTTCATTCTTGTATTCTTTGAATTTCTCGAAGACTTCGCTTTTGTTCTTCATAGAGTAAACTTCGCGGTACCTCGTGTAATCGTCTATGAACGTGACGAAATATTTCGAGCCGGCCAATGATTCAACTCGCATTGGCCCACATACATCTGTGTGTATTATCTCAAGAGGCTCCTTGGTTTTTTCTGTTTCGATCTTATGAAATGGTGCGCGTGACAATTTCCCTTTTATACACACTTCACAGTCGTTTAAAGTTTGGTTTTTGTTAAACCTTTTAACATATTTTTAGTTAACGCTGCTTTCAGATCAACTTCGTTTAGGTGGCCCAGCTTATGCCATTGCATAATTTCATTCTGTTGAATGTTGTAAACTTTCTCTGCCTCTTGGAAGTTCATATAGTATAGCCCGTTTTCTCTTCTGGCTTCCAACACAATCTGTCCAGATTCGTCCTTGATGGAGGCTTTAGTTTTTGTAAAGTGCCCGGTGAAATTATTATCGGTGATTTTTGCATCCACTGTCTAAACAACAAAGTTTATTGTTTGTAGTGTTCGTTGATGATAGACATAGTGATTGTACATTAAACTTCTTTGGTTCATTTCCACCTTTCGTTTTCTGCCCATCGCCCTTTGAACTCCAACAATCAGCCGCCTTGTGTCCTTTCTTCTTGCACTTATTACATTTGAACATGAATTTCCCGTTCTGATAGTTCTTTCCTTTGTTCGAGGATTTATCATAGTTTTTATTGAAGAAAGCTCCTTCAGGCTGCTCGTACTTTTCGGTATTTCTTCTTGCTTCTGCTTCTTCGATTATTTTTACTTTCAGTTCTTCTGGCCTTGGCAGGGAGTCTCTTGCTTCAATTGCAATTCTGAAGTTCTCGAAGTTGCTCGGAAGGCTGTACAGCATCATTATGCCAAGGAGTTCAGCATTTATTTCAATTTTCATATCGTGTAGTTTGTCTACGATTTCCAAGAAGTTATTTAAATGGTCCTTGACGTTTTCGCTGTCTGTCATTTTCTTTAAAATTGTCGGCACTGATTGTGCAGTAAGTTTTTGATAAATAAACTGTTGTCGTAGTTTTCGTAATGTTCGTAGTCTATTAGATATAGTAAAGTAGACTAAAAGTAGAGTAAAAGACTAACTTTATGTAGTATATGTAATGTATATAGTACATCTTTATGCTTGTAATGATTTCTATTGCAGATTTTTTCATGTTAATTTATTTGGTTTGATTAGTTTTAAAATATATTTTTTTTTTCTTTTTTACGCTCTGCTACCAATTGTTGCTTCAGAAGTGTGGCTTTTCTGGCCGGACCCTGACTCTGGTAAATTGATTTTAATGTGTCCCATACTTCTTTTGATCTTTTACAATTCTTTACTTGCTTTAATTCTGACGGGGACATCAATAAAAGCAATTCCGATTTCGCCAATAGGTCTTCATGATCAAAAATTGCTTCAGCTGCAGGATTCCCTTCTGGTGTTACTTTTTGATCATTTACATACTCCCAAAGATTAATTTTTATTAGGACTGCTTGTGCTTGTACCGACCATGTGTCGTAATTGTCTTTCCCGAGAGGTTCAATCTTGTAGTTTGATGAAGCCATCTTTTGGGAAAAACCACGCTCTGCTACCAATTGTTGGAACTTGTGAAAATGCAGGATTAAAACGCTTCGTACGTATTACTGACAAACTATATATTTATTATCTTGTTGAGAAAACAATTACATTGATTTTTGATCAGTAAACATGACAACATAAAACAAAGATACTTAAGTTCGTGTTACTTTACCAACAGTTATTAATAATTGTCACTTGTAGATCCCCATGTCCAGGGTAAAGAAGAATGGGGTGGACGGCTTCGCATGGCGATGCCGAATATGCGACACTCGTGTTACCATCAGGAGGGGCAGCTTCTTCCACGGTAGTCATCTGAAGCTGTTCCAACTGTTGGTAATATTGCACGAGTGGAGCATGGATCAGCCCCAGGAGGACATAGCCCGCGTCGCAAGGATCAACCAAACAACCACGGTCGTCGATTGGAGCAATTTTTGTAGAGACGTGTGTCGTCATCATTTTGACCTCCATGAGAATCTCATTGGGGGTTTCAATGATGACGGCACCTCAAAAATTGTGGAGATCGACAAGTCGTACTTCTTTAAACGGAAGCAGTGCGCCCCGGGCTTTGGGTGTTTGGAGAAATAGAAAGAGGCTCCAAAAGATGCTTCCTGGTAGAGGAGCCCGACAGGACACAAGAAACATTGTGAGCACTGATTGGCAGTAAGTTTTTGATAAATAAACTGTTGTCGTAGTTTTCGTAATGTTCGTAGTCTATTAGATATAGTGAAGTAGACTAAAAGTAGAGTAAAAGACTAACTTTATGTAGTATATGTAATGTATATAGTACATCTTTATGCTTGTAATGATTTTTATTGCAGATTTTTTCATGTTAATTTTATTTGGTTTGATTAGTTTTTAAATATATTTTTTTTTGTTTTTAGAAAGATTCTACCAGGAACCACCGTAATATCCGACGGTTGGCAGGCTTATAATAATATCGGTAGGCTCGGTAATGGTGTGTATGATCATCGGGTGATCATACATGAGGATAACTTTTGTATCA